TATATATATATATATATATATATAAGAACATCCAATTCATATCACTAATTAATTTTTTTACATTTTCAATCCTAGGGTCGCCACTTTCATGCAACCACCCCAGGAAGTTTGTTTAAAAAATTTATCGATTTTCATCTCGAGTAAGGTCATATTTATGAAATAACTTGGTACAAGGCAGTGAACGACACACACGATTCAAAACGACTTTGAATTGCTTCATGTTTTTATTCTACCAAAAGGCTGAATTTATCGAAGCTACTATCAAAGGCTTTCATAGGTCGAAGTAATATTCAAGAATTTTAAGACTTGATCGAAAAGAAGTCTTTTGTTTCCACTTTGCTCATTGGTAGGTTTTATTATATTAATTTTATTTTTTTGTATTTGACAATGTCACAGAAAAAGTTATATATATTATCTTTAATATATTGTTTATATTTTATAGACATCATTAGCCAGATGGTTATGTTTCAAAATGCTCAAACCACCATTTCAAGGGGGGTAGAAAACGGTTAGTTGCAGTCGTCCTTGAAGATTTGGAGTTCGTTAATTTTTAATCAAAATTTTTACTCGACATGTTCTTCATTTTTTATTTTTATTTTTTATTTTTTTGTCGGAACGATAGAGAATCTATTAAAAATCAAAACGCAACAATGTGCGAATAAATATACAAAGCTCCAAACGGGAGAAGAAAAACAACCAAAGTCTGAATAAAATGGGAGGACAGGTCTGATGACCACCTAGAAATCCAACTCTAGCAACGCTAGAAACCTAAAACAAGACTCAAACACAAAGAACACAAAGAAAAACTACAACGCTCCCAATAGGAGAATAGAGACAAGAGCTGATCCCAACATGATAATAAAGATGCTTCTGCTTAGGCTTATAGAGGCCAACGGCCTAAACCAAAACCAGAGGAACAAAAACAACACAAACACTCAAAGCTAACCAACAAAAAAAAACTAAACAATGATGAGAATCATGTTAGCTTAAACAAGTTCCATGTTCTATTATTTTGCACTTAGATAGAATGGGTCGTCATCGGGCGAACCAATGATCATTATATCAGTTACTTGTGAAACAAGAATTATGGTTCGCAACCTAGATGGAAATGAACACCACATCCCGAACGGTGGTAGTGTCAGCGGAACAGTTTGTCTTGACTGATTAGTTGCACTAGTACATTTATGTATTGAACATGATCCCAGAGAGGAGAAGTTCGTTTTATACTGATCGTCGTAAACCAACTAGGCCTCGACTAATTACTGCGTTCTCTTAACTCGTAAGATATTAAATATACATATAAGTGCAGTAAATATTATTTTGATTCACTTAGGTGCCCTTCCACAGAAGCAAATCCGAGGCAAACCAACAAGCACCAAATCGACCATAGAGGATTCCATTAGCTTGAGAAGGCCGACCCCTCCACTGCAAAACCGCCTAGCTGAGTCGAATCCCAAGATCAGAATACCCCCAAAAGGCCAATTTTCTCCCAGCCGAAAAACTCCAGAAAGCACCCAACCGCCGTAGTATCGAGCCGACTAACACCACTAGTAACTCGATACCAACAACAAACATTCCAAGACCTTACACCAGAGAGGGTACCAAGCGGCCACCGAGCCGAGCTGACAAACACCACTAGTAACTCGACACTGCTCGACAAGCGACCCTTGACCCAGCGCCAGAGAATCGGAAGATGGAGCCGATCTGAAGAAGCAGCCCTAGCCACTCTGGCCACAAGCTGCAACCGCTGAAGCTGCACCCTACCATTTCTCGCAGAACCTCCCCTCGTCCAAAGCCCCACCACATCTCCACAGAGGTCGTCGACCAAGAGACATCGTCAGCGTCGCAGAACCCTATGAACCGCACCATCAACGAACCACAACACCGGTGCAACAGGGCCAACCATCGCCGAATCTCAGGACCAAGCGACACCCCAACACTGGAGCAAATGGCGTGGATTTGGGCAGACATAAAACATATGCTCAGCCAAACGAGAGAAGCCGCATCTACGGGATAGGGCCGACCGACAAGGGGGCGATTTCCGTCGACCCAGAAGCTAAGTGGAAGGCGACGAATTTTAGGAGCGGCGACGAGGGTTTTGGTTGGAATTTGGGGACGAGAGAGAATTTGGGGAATTTTATAGTTTCTCTATTTTTGAATCACAATATTAAACAATCCTTCTCAACATTTTTCTTATAGAGGACGATGAATCACATGCACCTTTGGGAAGGGTACGTTGATACGATTTTTTATGCATTCAAGAACTCATTTCCGACAGACCTTCTGTCTTTATTATCTAAATGTGTCGGGCCAAAGATTTTGTCGAAGGTATTACATTAACATCAATTATTTACACTATTATATATATTCTATAAATGGTTTACTATAAATATGTTTACAATTTCCTCTTTGCATATGTTGTTTAGGTGTTGTGAGAACTGCTGGTGACGAGTTTAAAGCAAAGATGACAACTTTCAATGGTGTTATCGAGATCCTTGACTTCAACGAAAGGTAATTACTTGAAGGTCGACACTCTAGTGATGCTGCTGAGGAACATTGATCATCCAATGAGGTTGTGCAATGATACACGTTTGGTTATTACTAAGTTCAGCATCCATGTCCTCGAATATAAAAATTTAACTCATGCCAAAGTTGGTGATAAAGTTCTTATTCCTAGGTTCACGATCATTCATTTCGATTTGAGGATACTGTTGAAGTTTCAGCGCATAGCCGCATACAGTTTCATGTCATGGTTTCCTATGCTATGACGATTAGTAAGAGTCAAAGTCAGTCTTTATCACACGTCGACTTAGCACTATAAAACTTAAAACCCTATTTTTCAGTCATGGACAGTTGTACGTGATCCTTTTCAAAGTCACGAGTTGGAACGGTTTGAATGTAATGATATGCTGTATGGGGAATTTGATATGAATGCCTTATATAAAGAAATTTTTAATACTATTATTATTATTATTATTATTATTTTTTTTTTAAGCGATGTGGATAATGTGATTAAGGGGGTGATTGTTTACAAAATATTTCAACTCAAATATTTTCAACTCAAAATCTAACTCAACTTTAACTCAACCCCACTATCTTTAATATTATTCATATAATTAAATAATACAAACCAATCATTCTTACTCATCACATCAACTTTAATTCACTATTCATCAACTCACATAATTTTAACTACCAATCATTTCCAATAATTTATCTCTTACTTTATATCAAATCAATTTTAATTATCTTATTTTAAATATTATTTTAATATATTTTTTAAATCACACTAATAATTAACCACAATACTTTTTCAACTTTAACCATAGTTAACCAAAATGAAATATTTTGGATGAGATATTTTATAAACAATCGTGTCTAAGGGTTTGCTGCAATTTATCCGTAAACCTTTGTATTGTGGAACTTACCTCCTTTGCTCCATTTGTACCTAAGCCCTAGCCCGGCATAAATGGTGGAGACACCAAATCCAAAACACACCGGCGATGCTTCACGGAAAATCATTTCGATTGCCGTCGGCGAAGCTCACACTCTCGCTCTAACAGGTTTATTGTCACTCACATTCCGTTTTCACCTGTCGTTTTACATCGCTAATAAAACTGCAATCGTAGGTGATGGGAAAGTGTACTCTTGGGGAAGAGGAATGTTCGGTCGGCTGGGCTCCGGTTCGGAGGAAAACCGGCATTTTCCTGCTCGAGTCAGGGTTCTGATGATGAAAGGGAAGATACTCTCAAGATTATAGGGATTGCTGCTGGGGCTTACCACAGTCTTGCTCTTACAGGTAAACTATCATTTAATGCTACTTGTTGAGTTCAATTCAAGAATTAACACATTCATGTTGCAACCTGTAAAATACAGTTATATGCATATGTTTGATTGGATTGTTGTTGCCACTGTTGTTGTTTTTATTGTAATTTGTTACCACAAAAAAATTGTGATAAGCTTCATTCATGTGGTCATGAATAATGTTATTTGCAGCAGCCTGTGAGTATAATGTATCTTGATTGCTGAGTTCCAACTTCATTTTGGCAGATGATGGAAAGGTTTGGGGCTGGGGTTACAACATCTGTATCCTCCATTTCAATTTGTTGTCAACAAGATTGTTGCCTTTTGTGTTTCTTATTTTTGTAACTTTATTCCGAAACACGAGTACTCCTTCACTACGATGTGGATGGCCAAATTGATGGTACTGGGAAAAATTGTTTGGCTCCTGAGTTATTAAACGGTTTCTCCGCATCGGAATCTCCCGACTCTTCAACTCAAGATGATGATAGCAAGAGCGGCAAACCACTCAAGGTATGGGCTAGCAGTTCTTTTGCAAATCACTAGTCTTATAAGAAGAACCACCCTGAATAGTGCTAAAACGAATCTGAATTATCATTTGAATGTATAAAATACTTCCTTGACAGGTGTTTGTAATTTGCAGATCGAGCTTCCAATTGCGGAACATTTGTATGAAGAATGCAACTAAAATATTTATGTGTCGTACAAGAGAATGTTTTGTAATTTTAAAAAATAACCAATTCCTTTTAATTTTCTTTCTTCCCTATGTTTGTGTGTGTGTAATTGCGCTAGACTTCAAGAAAATGTTTGTAATTCAGCCCTTATATAATCATTTAAACTTGCAAAAAATAAAAAATAAATTAGAAGTGCCCTTACTAATAGCACTGCTTCCAGATTTCCTCTGTAGAAGCTGGAGGAATGATGTCACTCGCGATCGACGAGCTCGGGTCCCTTTGGATATGGGGTAACTGCCCCAACCCTTCCCAAGCCCACGAATCCCCCGAGATCACATTTTCGCTTGTCAGCACCGGATCACCGCTCCCTGTCTCCAACTTCCACGGCCACACGGTCGTCAAGGTTGCATGTGGAAACGAACATGTGATCGCATTAGTCACAGCTGGAGAAACCTACATGGGCAGCAGGGACCTTATCTGCTACTCGTGGGGCTGCAACACCCATGGCCAGCTAGGATTGGGGGACAAGGTAAGCCGGTCGAGCCCCAAAATTATTGAGAAATTCAACTTGGACTCTCCCTGGGAGGTCTATGACATGGCATGCGGTGCGGCCCACACGGCTGTTTTAGCAAAGAGAAAATCACCGAACGAGATTGTGGAAAGCTTCTGCTGGACGTTTGGGTTGGGCGACAACGGACAGCTAGGGCATGGGACCACACAGGGCTCAGATTCGCCCGAGATCGTCAAGGGTTTGCCCTCGGGGGTATTTTTGGTATCGGTCGGGTGCGGTTTGTTCCACACAAGCGTTGTCTCGTCTAGTGGGGAAGTGTGGTCATGGGGCATGGAGAAGGGGTTGGGGCTGTGCCCGGACGCCACCTTCACAGGAACGGATGCTGGCGATGCCCTTCTCCCTCTGCTCCTTCCCTCCAGATTTTGGGAACCCTCGCGGGTTGCGTGCGGCGGGGCCCACACAGTCCTTGTGACAGATATGGGCTACAGAATCTGGTCTTGGGGCCGAGGATTGAGTGGAGCCCTCGGGAGCGGAAGGACGGATGACTCGTACTCGCCCGCCCCAGTGTTGTGGCCGCCAATCAGCGATGATGATATTGGCAATGGGCAAAATGCGAATAAGGGTCCGGAGGGGGGTGTGGAGATTGAGAGGGCAAAGATTCTCGAGTCGAGACTCTCGGCGGTGGAGAGATACGCGTGTGTTCTTCATGGCTTGATTTTTGGGAGGCCGCTGGAGGTTGATGAGATCCCTATCTCGGTTCTCGAGTCGGGCGCGTTTGATATCGCAAAGGAGTGGGAGAGAATGGTAGATTCTTTGGACCAAAGGGGACTCGTTCGTTTGGAGATGTTTTATAGGGACATGCGTGCAAGCGTGAAGGATAAGCTGTTGAAGAGGAGGGTGCTGGAGATGGTTAAGGAGTGCCTCAGTTTAAATGCATCGAATGAAGGTTAGTGTGTGCTTGGTTACTGGAGGGTTTTGAGATTTGAGGGCAGGTACTTCTCAATTCTCATTAGATGTTTCAGTGTCCAGATGTATGTAGAAAGACAATAAGTATCCACAAAGTGATGTTCCTGTTGTATGGGTAGCTTGTTATAAAAATGTATTCACCATTTCAAGTAAATAATTTTAAGTTGCATAAATAATTGTAAAAAAATATATTTATACAAAAAATTTCACGAATTTTTACATTTTTTGGGTAAGGCGCAACATTTCTGTTTTTCCTCT